CTATCACAAGATCACAGATCTCCTCCCAACCTCGATTTGCATATTTATTTCACGTATAAAAAGTGTTTGAATATAATAATAAGTATATTTATTAATAATATGAGCAGAATTTTCCTTGTCTCAAATAATTACTGACAATATAATTTATCACTGAACTAAAAGATCTGGAAGGCTAACTATAGAAGGTGAAATTTGTACCAAAGAGGCCAGTTGCATAAAGGCTAAACAACTTTTTAACTACTAGTTTTGTAATTGTGGTTAAATGGTAGTTAACTCTCAAATACGCGATTCTGATTGGTTAACTTTTGCACTAATTGTAGTTATAATAACTTTAATTATACAACCAGCCCCAAGTATGGGCTGGTGAAACATTTTTGTATATTTTTAAATATAACACAGTTTTCAGAAATTAATGAACCTTCAACTCAGGTACCGGTGGTTCTATAGAGTATAGTACTTGCAAAGTCCTAGTTACACTCATTCAAATTTAAACTTCGTTCGATTCAATGTTACAGTGGCGTAACGTTATATCAGAGGGCCCCCGGTTCACAATTTTCGAAGCCCCCCTAGTAGAGGTGCCAAAAGCACGAATTAAGCGCCGTATATGCACGAGTCTTCTAGGGGGTCAGGGCATGCTCACACGGAAAATTTTTGAATCTAGAGCCTCTGAAATGCCATTTCCTGGACTTGGAGGAGGATTTTACACAATTCTGATGGTCAGAAAACGACATTTATCACTTATTTACGGAGACCGAGGGAAACAGTGTCTTTTGTGGACCCGAGACCTTTGTGGACTCGAGGGTCCACAAAACACACTGCTTTCCCGAGGTCTCAGTAAATAAGTGTTTTATTATATATCAATAGTCAAAGAAACAACAAATTAAAGAACAAATGAACGTAAATACATGAAATATTTTATTGTTAAAACGTTATATTAAACACTGGCTACACTGCAGTTACTTAAAGCGAAAGTTTTAATTACGTACTAAGCATGTCCAAAGGTCGCATCTTCACGTGATGGCGCACGTGATTTTTTTTTTGTTATTCGCCGGTCGATAACGTATTATCTCCCTCTCGCGCTGTTGCGAGGGAGACAGCCTAATTTCGTCACTCTCACGTGATATGCTCTCAACCAATAAAACACTAGAAAAATGCGACTTTGACTATTGATATATAATAATGTAACATATCAGAGGCCTCCCTGGCCAATGTTTTGGTTCAACAGCCTGAGCCTGGGGGTCTCCATTTGGCCCATTGGGGTTGGGGGCCCCCGGGTTCGCCCGGTCTGAACCCATAGTAGTTAGGCCACTGCAATGTTAATCAGCTAAGTGGAAACTTCCATCAAACTTCGAACCTTTGAGAATTTTTGTGAATTCTGGATCGGGAACAACGCCAAGCGGGTTCTTTGTAGAATGATCTTGAAACCAGAATGATACTTCACTTGTTACAAGTCTAAAAAACTGTCTATATGTTCCTTCATTTTGAGGCAAAGCCTCGTGCGGTGTTCTATCTGTGATCCAGTAGAGTGTATTTGCAGCCATAACTTCACTTTCTGGAGGTAAAAATTCTCTCAGATGTTCAATATCGCCATGAATACCAACAGCATCAGGGCAGTTTCCTTCAGATCGTAGGATTTGACAATCCCAAACTGTACAAGAGTTTTCCACATTTGATGCCATGTAAATACCACCTTCTAAATTCAAATCGCATTTTGCAACTCCATGACCCCAGAAACCTCGATCAAATGCAGGGAAGTGTTGAGCTTCTCCCTTGCTGCGTTTTAATAACCCAACACCTGGGGACTCGGTGTGTATGCCAGCTCTTCTCTGTGATGAACCTGTAATATTTCATTTTTATTACAAAATTATAGATAGTAGTAAGTAGTGGGGAATGGCCACCAGAAATATACTTTCAATTGGTGGTCAGCATATATAAATTTAGAAGATTGAATGGGCCTTATGCGGCGTAATGCCACAAACACGTCAAAAAAATGAGTGAGTGGATGGCATAGAAAACAGAGAGACATTCAAAACAATGGAAAGGGAAAGGAATATTGCAAAACCTCCGACAAAACTGCAATTTACACTCATATTTGGCTGTTTTTAGTCTTGTTTAGGACAAAATTGCAATCATGGTGGGGTCCTCACCCAATTATTTTCGCCACTGGCTAAGTGTCATACAAACTACAAAGGGACCATTGAAGAGAACATTTGTAAAGGTAGGAAGAAAGTGTCAAAAAGTAGCGCTTTGGTATGATTGCCGCGTTCCTTTCTACGCTTAAACGAAAAGTGGCCAAGTATGAAAAATAAATAATGATGGAGTGATTTAGAATATATAACATTCCTACCTTGATCAACATAACTTTCTTGGATGGTAAGATATCCTATTTTACCTACATCATTTTTCACGATACACTGCCGTATAATCTCGTCCCAGTATGATCGCAAATATTCCGGAAGTTTCGTATCATGAAACTGCTTCTCCATGATAAAAGGCATCATATTAATGTCTATATTGTGCGGAGTTGGGAACCGCACTATCCAGTTAAGATCTGACGTAGTGTGATGATAGCCCCATTTTAGTTTCACATAACTCAAGTTACTATCATCACTTAATTTAATACACGATTTCCAGTATGTTACAATATCACTCCATATTGTCTTTAAAATGTAATGCATTCCCAACAGTAAATGAAAAGGACTTTGAGAATCATAGAGGCCTTGCAAGATTGTTCGTGCTACAGGATTAAGTACGTTCATCTCATCTCCATTGGTCGCCATTTTCTTTGTTACTAAAACTATCAACGAAACAAAATAGTGAATTGCATTGTGATTCTGGTTTCCATATCGCGAATCCCATATCAAGATGTACCGAGTATTGATGTCTCTGCATTTAGTTAAAACTTATTAGCATACAACACGCTATCTCGGCAAAATACTGTAGATCCAGACTAGATCATATGAACTATAGCTCCCAATGTTTATTGTATATTTCTTTGTCCTATTAATGTATTTTTCACTTAGTGGGATGTCAGGGTAGATGTCAAGTCTAAAAGGACAGTTAGTGATGAGGCCATTGGATCAAGCTGACCCAGTTGTTCACTATATTAGCCAACACAGTCTTGTTTTTATAAGTGTCAGTAATACAATAATTGTCAAGAGGAGAAAATCGCCGACAAAATTGCTAGAAATGTGAACCTAAGCCGAGGTCAGGCTCTATTTTACAAATATGGCCTGACACAAACCTTAATCCAATAGCTTTCCACCCACAGTAAAGTTTATATTTAATATCCAATCAAAATGTTGCAGGAGAAATTTAAATTTCACACAACGACATATTAACAATCTATTTATAGTTGTGATCACTATAAAACATATCATCTTCGAGTTGGAAAGCTTTACAGTGCGTCTACAGTAAGTGGGGCCACTTAGAGAACACTAACCAATCATATTGCAGAACAAAAATTGAAAAAATCAACAAACGGCGCATTAGCCAATCAGCATTAGGCCAAAACCAATTTGAACAAATAAACGAATGTCAAACGGTAAAAATAGACTTTGAATCTTTCTTTTGATTGGATGAGCTTTTATAGTTTGATTACATTTTTCTTTTTGTGATGCAATGCAATTGGTTAGTGTTCTCTATATATAAGTGGCCCCACTTACTGCAGTGGACGCACTGTAAACGGAGGAGTACCCCCAGGAACTGTTTTGGGTCCGGTCTCTTTTTTTGTTTATGATAAACGATCTTCTCGATGAATGGCCCGACCGATGGAAGTACGTAGATGATACTACGGCTACTGAAAGTGTCATGGTGGATTGTAGCAGTAATCTCCAGCAGTGCCGGATTAACCATATGGCAGAAGCAGCATATGCCGCGGGCCCCGCGCTTTTGGGGGCCCCGCGCTTACTCTCTCCTATTTTTTTTCCGAATTTTTTTGTTCCATCTTTCAGTTGGAGACCCAAACAGTGCGCCAGTGCGGGGCCCTAAAGAGCCCAAGTCCCCCAGAAAACGCGAGGGCCCCAAAATTTAAAAAGCGAGGCCCCATCAAGCTGGACCCAAACGTTTTTTTTTGTCCCTGTTTCAGCGCGGGGCCCCAAACAGCCCAAGGTCATCAGAAAACGTCAGGCCCCAAAATTTAAAAATCGAGGTCTCAAATAGCCGGGATCGAAACGGTTTTTTTGTTTCCTGTTTCAGCACAGGATCCAAACAGCGCGGGGCCCCAAAGAGTCCAAGGCCCCTAAAAGCGAAGCCTCCAAATAGAAAAACACAAGGCACCAAAAGTTTAAAAAGCGAGGCTCCAAAAGCAGGGCCGCAAACAATTTTTTTTGTTCCTTCTTTGGGCAAGGGGCTCCATAGAGCGAGGCCAAAAAAATCACATTAAATACTAAAAGATTGCTGAATTTTGTGGAAGACGGCAGAAGTTCATATGGACGGTATCATGTTTAGCTATTTTTCCCCTGTAAGTAATAATAATGTTAAAGGTCAGGCATTAAAATACGGAATTTTTTAGTGATAATATTGAAAGGGTTCAAAGAAGAGCTTTGAGAATTATTAGTTACAACAATTCCATCCTTGAAGGAACGACGTGAGATTTTATGTGGACAATTCTTTTTGAGAGATGAGAACCTAGTCTAAAAATTGGATGAATTTTTACCTAATAAATCCTCCTCGGCTTATGATACGAGGGGAAATTGTAAATATAATAATTATTATTGTAAAACAGAACGATTTAGAAAATCCTTCCTACCACAAATTATTTCGAAACTAAATTGTAAATAGTAGTTTATTCCTTGATATATATTTACTTGTAGTATATAGCTGATGTAATTTAACCTTTGGTTACAAAATCAGTAAATATATTAATAATAATAATATAAATTTAAAACAACAATAGTATAATCTAATTAGCACCAGCCAATGAAATGACAGATTAAAAAATCTTTTGTCTCATAGACCAATCAGAATTACAACCGAAATACGGTTGTAAGGCATGGACTTTTGTTAAGGTTTGTATCAGGCCTATTTATTTATTTATAGGCCTGATCGCAGGTTAGTGTGAACCAGGCTTAAGGATCACAACAATATCAATTGACTAATTGCAAGGATCAATGGTTTATTGACTGGATTTCCAATTATCAATTTTTATTAATTTGAATGGTATGCCAGGTGCTACCTGTTATGTAAGCATCACAGTTATGTTAATGCTGAATAAAGTGGAAAATACAATGATGAAAACCGATCATCGGAAATCCAATCGATGGCAATCGATATTAATTTCTTAATTGATATCAATTGACATTGGTCAATCGATGACCAATCAAAATACTCACAAGTTATGACCAATTTTATCGAATATTATCAATATTCATCAATTTTCATCGATTGTTATCAGCAAGTGTATTACTTGCAAAAGTAAATCTGTTCCCATTTTTTGAAGGCATGTGCACATGTATTTGATCTGTATAGCCATATATTAACAACTTAATTTAATCCATTGTTACTGAATTAGGTTGACATTTGTTTTAATTATTGTTACGACATTAAAGATGCAGTACAGTCCGATCTGCGCATGTGCACAAAGGAGCCCTCTTTTTATTTGCAAACAGTTTATTTAGGTTTTTATTTTATGTTCTTCCAAAGCTTGATTGTTGTCTGTTGATAATTTATTATACTCTAGAATCATGAAAATATAAATAGTTGTCGAATAAAATTCATTATTTTGGATACCGAAATGTAAACAAAGCCTTTGTTTACATACGGACTGTACCGCACCTTTACAGTACGTATTAAGTAAATTATGGCGTTATCTGTTTGATTGCATGCATATATTAACAGAGGATTTTTCATTACTAAAAATTGATAAAAAATCGATAATCAATCAATGAAAGGTCAAAGCAAAACAAGCCATCGATTATTCATCAATTTTCCATATCAATTCAATCGATTACTCTCGATTTCAATTTGCTTTTCAAAACTGACTTCCAATGTTTACTTGTAAATTCGGAATGTTTGTTGTAAAGTTCCGAAGTTTGTTTCGAAGTTCGTTACGATGATTTACGACGATTCAATAGACCTTTATAAAAAGGTTGACGTCAGCAGGCTTGTGACGTAGTTTGCGGAGAAAATCCGGAAAGCTCAGACACAGAATAGGAAGTTATACCAGAAGCGTAACTCTAGTCGTTTCCCTTATTGTTTGACGTCCACGAAAATTTTAACTCGCTCACGTCAGGCCACGCCATCCTGGCTAGTACAGCCGGAAGTTTTTATCAGGTTTGGTAGGTACAAAGTGCCGGTTGTACTAGCCAGGATGGCGTGATTGATGACGAATCGCTTGTAAAAACGCGGACAAATATTTGCTCGAGTTACGCTTCTGGTATAACTTCCTATTCTGTGGCTCAGAGTTGTTTACTTGTTTTGAGTTTTTTTAAAGCCAAAAGAAGCCAGTATTATGGTAAGTTTGAAGCAAATTTTTCTATATATATATAGGCCAAATGAGTTTTCATATTCGTCGTATAAATTTTATTTATTTTTATATTAGATTGTACAATATTTTACTGTTATGAACATTTAGCAAATTGTTCGCTCGGTTTTCTTTTCTGTTCCTCAAATTCATCAGTGTATAAACAGCTCCGCTTTCGTTTCTGAAGATTTAAACTTTAAATCTCTACACTTCAGCCGAAATTTTAAGTTATTTTTGGTAGCTTTTTCAATATCCTTGCCAATTTTTGACCCGGGTATGTCCTTTTCTGTCAACTATATCGATAAAAATAACAGACTTATCAGTCTTAATACGAGTCATTGTGTACAAGATGTATTCAGAGTCGATAAAAGTTCACTTATAACAATAAGACCTCTTTGCGTGATCACTGAGCCTGTGTATTGCTGTCTACAGCTTGATTGGGGCCATTCTGATGATTAGACTGATGAATTTGAGAAACAAAAAAGAAAAATTATACTTTTTAGCAACGAAATATATGTAAACAAACCGGGCGAAAAATTTGACATTTGAATAAATGTTGACAGTAAAATAATGTACAATCTGATATAAAAATAAATAATATTTAAACTACAACGAATATGAAAACTCATTTGGCCTATATATAGAAAAATGTACTTCAAACTTACCATAAGGGCCTGTTTACATGGAGGTAGGGTGACCCTATCAGGAGGGTTACCCTAGCAAGCAGGTCAGAAAATAGCGAGCGTTTACATGAGGTAGGGTGACCCTACTGCTAGGGCTATGTTGCCGGATAGGGTAACCCTACCTATGCGTGGTCGCTAAGCGGTCTGTATTAGATAAATGGCGCCGAAACGCAAAGTTTTAGCGGCAAATTGTGTAATGCTATTTATTGGGCCTTTGTTTGCTGCATTTCAATGTTGTGGTCTGTTATTTCCGAGGTTATTTCAATGTCAGTGTGGTCTATTACTCGCATTGCGTAAATAAGCGTAATGTATTCCTTGATATAGTCGAACACAACAGTTTTTCGACATGTTCGGCTGACCAAGAGCATTTATTTTGTTTTTTTGACGTCGATGAGGATGCGCCGGAATTTTGCTTCCTTTTCGCCGTCTTTGGCAATTTGTTATCGAAACTACATCATTCGCAGCTTTCTCGTCCAAAGTCAAAGCTTCGTTCTATGCCTCTGCTTCCTTATTTGTAAATTGCTTATCCTTTTTATTTTCTGGTGTCGTTTAAAATACTCGCCAGGCTGATATGTTCATATGTATAATCTAGCGACGCCATATCCTTGTTTGTCTGTCACAGTAGGACGTATAAAACATGACCCGCTTGCTGGGGTAACCCTACCTGACGCGTTTACATGGCTTATGTAAACAAAAAGATAGCCCTGCTGCTAGGGTCACCCTATCTGTTTGATAGGGTAACCCTACCCCTAGGGTAACCCTAGCGCGCATGTAAACGCTTCCTATAAAACATATTGAAGTAGGGTAACCCGCTTGCTAGGGTAACCCTTCTGCTAGGGTCACCCTACCTCCATGTAAACAGGCCCTAATACTGGCTTCTTTTGGCTTTAAAAAAAACTCAAAACAAGTAAAAAACTCTGAGCTTTCGGGATTTCCTCCGCAAACTACGTCACAAACCTGCTGACGTCAACCTTTTTATAAAGGTCTATTAGCAAGCGATTTGATTGGCTGGTTCACTTAATTAACTAGCCAATTACAACTTACTAAACTTGATTATCGTAAATCATCGGAACGAACTTCGAAACAAACTTCGGAACTTTACAACAAACATTTTGAATTTACAAGTAAACATTGGAAGTCATTTTTGAAAAGCAAATTGAAATTGAAAGTAATAAATACCGATTAGTATTGATTGATATCAATACTCATCGATTATCAATACTCATCGATTATCAATTTCATCGATTATCGATTTCATCAATTAAGTACACGTACACCGGGACAGTATTATTAATCACTGGGCAAGCCAATGCCTACCATACAGTACCTACCATACTACCAACAACAACATTGGCCAAAAAACGTAACACCAGCAGGTTGATGGTATGATGGCATTGCAAATACATTGCAATCAAATTTTCGAATTCCTTAGAAAAAGCTCGAAAATTCCTCAGATTTCCTTAAAATTCCTTAATTAAATTGGTAAAATTACTACAAGGCCTGATCACAGAGTTGCAAAAAGTGTTTTTTCACCTGATTTACCTGAATTTTTCGAACTGAACGTTCTTTAAAACCGTATTTTTTGAAAATTTGAAGTCTCTAGACCGTCGGAAATGGCATTTTTAGAGTCTTTCCTACGTCTTTCCTACAGATCGGAAGAG